AGCAGACGGTTTAAAAAAAGCTTGCATTTCTTAAAATATAAATTGTATATAATGTAAAAGTCCCCAATTGCAACATTTAAATTTTGCTTTGACAGAGGTATTCTCTGCATTGATAAAAATGGTGATTTTTGATTCAAGCATATTAAGTAGACTTTGATTTATAATATACAGATAATGAGTTGCTATCTTGAACGCCTCTACCAGAGATTCTACCACAGGAAGATGGGTGTAACACATTTAAAACTTCATAAATACCTGTTCCTTCCTACTTAAACACAATGACAGCTCAACATAACTTTAGGACAAATGCATGTAGTAAATGCTTCAGAGGCCACTGCCTATCAGCAAAAAGTCACAGACATTGAAGGAACAACGTGCAAGAACAACAGGTGAACTTTTGGATTTTATATTGGACTAAAATACAAATTTATTTTTAAAATGAAGGGTGAGAAACCAAACCATTTCAACCTTGCACTATACAGTAGCAACAGAAGGAAAATGCCGCACAGAAGGTCTCTCCTAACAGTTCAGTCTCGTGTGCTTCCTTTTCCAAAACGAGCATCTCTAAAGGCAGACAGTAGTTCAGGAAATACATGAACAACACAGGACACTCAGATTTCTTACTACTGCTTCCTATCACTGTGCTTACTTAACCCTTTCTCTTCCAGAAAAACCAAAAAAAAAAGATTCAATCGTCAAGACAAAAAACAACAAGGAAAGACAAAAATATTTTACATGTAAATTTCACAATCAGTTTATATTTATGTTCTGAGCAAGGTACTGAAACTACTTTTAAGAACTATATATTTATGATTTTTTCATCTTTTTAATCAGTTTGAACATTACCGAACTAGTCTAATCTCTTTACCTCTGAAAACTTTTATATCTGACAAGCGGATACAATTCCAAAACACAAACTCAACTAATAAAACGTCAAATTTCTTTAAGCGTTTTTTAAGCATTTAAAACTTTTTGAACTCTTAAGTTACCCATTTTTTTTTACTTTTTTCACTTTAGAAAGTGTGACATGCTTTGAACATGGTATGAAAGCAATATAGTTACAGCCCTGCAGCAAACCAGCCAAGATTTATTCCACAGGCCAAATGTACGCCACACAGTAACCTTAGCCAAATGCTCAAAAGGCATGTCGGCGTATAAGTGAGAAGTCAATTCAAAACCACTCTCCTGGTGAATTTTAAGGGCCTTCATTGTCATGAAAAACCCCCTTTAAAAAAAAAGCTTCAGTAATTAACAGTTTAGGATTTTGCACATGTAACGCAAATAATTGCCTTACATTCCTGTAGACTATCTTTAGTCGATCTTTGGTGCAGAATTTTAAAAATTCAGCAAAATCACTCTTGCAAATTATACCGCTAAACTACCTGGGAAATTCTGAAAATGTCAATAGAACTCGAGTCCTTTGCAACCCTGTACATGCCTGGCATTTCTGACCCATTACTCTATTAAGAGCTCTCACAGCACATAGAGAGCAAGTTTACAGGGATGGAAAAAAAAACACTTGACTAACAATAACCAAAAGCCTAGCAGCCGCTGCAATACAAATTCCAGACTACAGTAAAGAGCACCATTTGGATGTTGTAAAGTAAATTCTCTTTTTTATGCCTTTTTCATGGTTATTACAGTCATTTGTATTGCAGGCATATTGGAATATATCAAGACAATGCACAAATAAAAACAAGGCAAAAATAGTGTTCCTAATTATTATAACGAGACCCACTCTTCTGTTAAGAGTATGAATTTCATTCGTATCACTGAGCTGTTAAAGATAATGCCAGTTTTCATTAACTGAACAACATTAAGCGATTACTTTAAACTAAATTGTGCTGTTTTACAACTGCATTTTCTAACGTTTGCATTTAAAAAAAAACACATTTAGATCGCTTGTATGCACGCATGTTCAAGGTGTAAATCCCATATGAAGAAATAAATACCCTGGCAAGCTAATGATGGCATTATTGAAACGAGTTTGATTTTTAAAAACCAACGTTAAGTTAAAAACGCTGTCAAAAAAAGAAATGAAGTTGGAACACTAGAACACACCAGGCTTAACAGAATATGTTATATGGTTCAACCAATGAGTTGTAATACAAAGACAATGGCTACCAGTAATTGAAAACATGAACTTGTTTGTGTTCACAGTGAAGACGTTTATGAATAGGCACTTTACTTACACTAAATTATGGGCTGGAGTTAGAGAGTGTTGATCCAAATAAAACAAAAGTCATTGTTAAATATTTTTTCCGGTTTTGCCTACATCTGATGTTGCGCACACGGAGAAAACCTCGCGGGCAATGCGGCGTCAGTAAAGGTGTTAAAATCAAAGCCTAATTACACTTCAGATTCCCCCAGATAATCCTACACAGGGCCTACATCCCATTTTATTTTAAATACAATTTTTGCTCCATATACTGCTGTTCTTCCCGTCTCAGTGAAAGCAAGCAGCTAAGCAGTAGAGCTGCAGAATACACCACATTCCCTGAAATGTGAAAGAGGGCTCAATGCTTTCTTTAAGCATTGCCTAAAGATCAATGCTTAAAGAAAATAACTTTATTATTTCACATTAATGTCCATAAAGCGCAAATGAATTCCCAACTCAATTTAAACATACTGGGTATCGAGTTGAGATGCGTAGGATTCCATTCCTGATTTATACCATCTGGATCTTCCTGTGACTTTATGTCTTATTTGTTACGTATGCTCTTGGATCAGTTGTGCTATTTGTGTCGCGATCGCTCGGCGCACGAACCCAAAAGCCAAGTCTTGTGGACGATGTCTGAACGCTGGGCGGGCGACGCAGACAGCGCTCCCAGCAGATATTCCACTTTCGCTTGTTCGCGGCGTTTATGTGCTAGAAATCTACGGGGGGGACTCTTCGTAGGAATGATTTATTTTTTCGGGAAATGCACTCCTCGTAAATCATCAAACTATCACTACAACTACGGCGCACGATGACTTGAATACGACGATCTGAAAATCTTTGATCACTCGCAGCTGTTTCCTTTCCTTTAAGTTGGATACAACTAACAAAAACAGCGAGACCCTCGCACACCTGTGCTCTGAACTCTTCTACCCGCGCTCAGGACACCTCTCCCGTTTCTTTCGCAACACAATCTGTAACTCTTCACTAGTTACACATTGCAAGGTATGAATGAACACTTGCCCCGCACATTAAGAGTTGGTCTGTGTGCTGAAGGCATGCACAACCTAACCAAATGAAATGTTGTTTTTGTTAGTAGCTACACAGAGGGAAAAATAAAATGCATTAATTTGTCAATTCTGCACTATAAAATGGCATGTGTTTCCGTTCTGCACTTTTTTCACATTCAGCTGTAAAACAGAAAATAAAAAAGAAGATTTTGCCAAGAAACCTTCTAGAAGTATTACCCAAGTGTTAAATTTGCATAAGCCTTTTACATCACAGTTTCTGAAGTTAAACTCTGAACAATTTGCAACTTCAAACCTTTTCCAAAAAGAGAAAAGATCAAAAACGTATGGTTTCACACTTCTTCACTTTGCACAAGCCTCACACTTGACTTTCTTATCTAAAGAGTAAAAGTCATAAGTCGGAAACCCAATAGCCAAAACCAGATGGTTTTTTTTTTACGTTTCAAAATGAGAAGTTGTCTTTAGAAAAGGTTTTTTCAAATACAGGATACTTCTTACTTGAATCATCGCAGAACCACATATTTTAAAAAAGGTGTCTGAAGCACAACACAATTATAAATATGTTGATACTCAGGAATCATTTTTAACCATGCTACAGAACATGAATGACCGAGAAAAACAATGCATTGAGTACCAGTACACCAAGTAGTAGTTACTATTTCTTTAAATAACATCACTTTTTGCAAACATTTACATTGTGCAGCACTGTTCTAAACTATTCATAAACATGCCTTAGTCTTAACCACTGCAGCACGAAGCGGCACTAGAGAAATGTTCTGTTGATACCACATGCCTCAATACCCAAAGCTTGCAAGCAGTTCACTTTTCAGGTAGGCTGTGAACAATGAAGGCTTAATATTAAGGCCACTAGACTGGTCTTCAATGTCATGGGCTGGGTAACACCTCCATCTATACTGACCAAGACCATAAGAATGGATACAATTTGGCCCATCTAGCTCGGTTGTTTGTTAGTGTATGATTGATCTGAGGATCTCAGCCAGCTGTTTCTTGAAAGAGGCCAGTGTACCGGCCGCAAGAACATGACTGGGTGTGTGGCTTGTCCCAAACTCCCACAGCCTTTGTATATATATAAAAAAACACATCCCTCCGGTTCGTCACATTTCATTCAGGACAAAGTAAAAGCAAGAGAAGGAAAAAAAGTTCTCTTAGTTTTGTATGCACTACCCTCCTCTGGCATTACTGATTATTACGAATTATTTGTGCCTTTTCCAAGATAGGTGATGTCAGCACAACAGAGCTACAATGCAAATGTGAGGTACAGAGGCAGAGACGGATATCATTTGCATATTTATAAATCATTCAGAAATGTAGCACAGAAAACTACATTTTGCAGATGTAACAAGGAATATTAAAAAACAGGAAGCCTGAGCTGTAAGAGGTGGTATTTCATATTTCATTTCAAGGTGGCCACTGTCATTGGATATAGGGCTCTTACTGTTTCCAAGCTCAAAATATTCAAAAAGAGTTTTAAAGCAAGTTTCCTCTGCTGAGTATACAGTATTAATTGCACTTCAGGTCAATGCTTTTAAAATAAAAATATCGCAGCTGCCTTCTTCCCAAAGTAATGATTACAATACCACTGGATCTGATATGTACTTCTTCTGAATTCAGGAAACATTACCTTCAATGGGATTTGCAGACACAGCATTTCTTTGCCAGTAAACGAACATTATTTTTAAATCTGTCAGTAAATCACATAATAATACATAATAATATAATAATAATACTGGCTCTAAAAGACTATTAAGCAAGTTTAATAGCCACAGTTAAGAATTGAAAGCACAGCTACTTACTGTGAATATCCTCCTGCCAGTGCGATCAAACGTTACACAGTAAACTGAAGACAGATGCCCTAGAATCCTTTTGTGCATTTTCATATGCTGATAGACCGCTGTAGGGACAAGTTGTCCAAGCCTGTAAGTTCCATTTAGTCTACGTCCATATGCTGTTTCCACTGTAAAAGAAATATCAGAAAAGTCGGTTTAGGAGAAAGCTTTCTCCATGCAACCCATTTATAAATACAATGATAATCAACTGCATTCATGTATTGCTTTTCATCCCAAAATATCCTGTGTATATGGGAGAGGAACCACCACCCAGCAATGAACACAGCACCCACTATGCACCAGCAGTCCCACTCCAGTGGATCAGTGGAAGAGAAGAGAAACCAGTGCTTGGGAGGCCAGTATTTGCTACTCTTCCCTCTGTGACAGAATCTCAAAACCAGTGCTTGGGAACTTGAAGAAGCCCAGACTGCACAAGCCTAGAGTGAGATTTAGCCAGGGCACTGGGATAAATGCTACTGCTCTTACTTTGTCACAGGATCTTAAGTGACCACGCTAAGACATCCGTTTAACCTGTCTTCTGAAAGACAGCACATCACCAGTCATCACACTGAGACACTGGCTCTGAACTGGTGTTTCACAGAGAAGAAGGCCACCTACTGGTCCACCAACACCAATAAAATACCTCATGAAACGCAAAGATCATAATCTACAAGACAACAGTCACAGAACTGATAATGATCACTGGCATTGTATGGTAATAATTATAACTGTTACAATACAAGTATAATTATTAATTGCAGTGGGGGAATCACATAATTATAATGCACAATAATTCAATGACTATATTTTAAGTGTCTAACACCAACAATTTCAAGTACTGCATATACAACACTTTTTCACCCCACTGTGGCCCTTCTTTCTTATTAAAATGTAATTAAACATTTAATGTTGCTTAAATTAATTTAAAACATTGATTATGGACATACCAGCAATCTGTTCAAGAGCAAAATGAACATGAGCAAAATCATTATTCATTAAAAAAAGGTGCTCTGGCTTATTTAACAGCATTACTACTAGAAGGCTCATTGCTATTGGTATTTTTAGATTTTCAACAGAAATTCTCACAATAAGATAAAAAACAGGGGAAGTTACACCAAATATTGAAAATATAGAAATTTTTAAATGAGAAGACCACCACAATCCTTTCTTAGATTAAACAGACAATTTCTCTGAGCAATATGGATCAAGCTGACACTGACACAGGGATTTTGCACCACAAGAAAAAAAAAAGAAATTAAATTTCTTCGGTTTAGTCTCTTATTTGTAAGGATTATGAAAGCTTATCACCACTATTAACTAGGTCATTCCCCAAAACAAACCTTCCAGACCTGATAAGCATTCTCTCTGGGTACTTCATTTAATTAAAACACGGAAACCAGGAGACACCAATTCAGATCCTAGCCTACACGACAGATTCAATATGCAGGTAAAGACAATGTTAAAATTTTGACTGTCATTATGGTGTGAATACAAATATCATACCGGCGTTATCAACAAAATGAGATAATGTTGTATAAACAGTTACTAAGCCCTATTCTTGGAAACTGACAGCATTTATTTAGATGAAAAATACATAAAAAATCTTAACACAGGAATCCCAAACTTCAGGTTCTAGTGTCGTCTATACTTTGTTCACTTCCATAGTTGGCCAAGTTATTTAGCCTCATGACTGTAATGCTTCTACACAGGCACCAGGATGTTTTATATGTAAATAGCTTTAAACAAAGTGAACGTTTCAGGATGGAATTGTAAGAGCCGTCCTGTGTAAGACTAGGGAAACAATTAGATAGCTTATTTAAACTGACTTCTCACACTGAAACAGAAACCGGAAGACCCCAGGGAAGGAGGGCATGTTGTCATATGCTCGTGTTTAGGCTAAGCTGGCTGTTACGGTGAGAAAAAGGAGAGAATTCCCATTTGAAAAATGTTTCACAACCTACCGATATTCGGAGGGCTCCCGTAGTTTACTGGCGGCTCGGGGGGCCTTCCACAGTGCAGAGCCGCCAGAGCGGATCCCTTCCACACAACGTGCTTGCAACCTGTTCCCAACAAGAAACACAGATTCCCCACAGTAAGACACCCAGCCTTTCAAGGGGAACTGCAGTCCCGATTTCTCAGACCGGTTATTAAATCTCGGTCACAACATAAATTAATTGATGGTAGAAAGAAATAACAAATATTGAATTAAAGCACAAAATCTCGGAACTCTGTGAAAGTTGCTGGGTTGTCGCGGACCTCTGGTCCCGCTGCGGTCAAGAACCGAGAGATCCCACGAATTGTGACGCGATGTGGCCCTTCCTGCTCACTAGTCACTGTAATGACTAATGTAATGCAATATAAGAGCAAATGAGAACAGGTTGTGCAACGGATATTTCACTGCAGAAATGTTGCAACGTGATCTGCATGCAGAATTAACAAGTGAGTTCCATGTATTGACCAAACCGTTTCTAAGTGAAGAGTAAGTTTACAAACCTGCTTGTTTACAGTGTAATAGGGCCGCTTCACGTCACAGTTTTGTTGCCTCGTTCTGAATCTCAGAACATGGCACTGCGCATACCTGGAAATTTAACCTATTTTGTGATGTAAAATGGAGGTTTTACACAGCACAGTGTATATTTGACTTTAACTGTGGTTTGAAATGCACTCGTCAATGATGATTCTTTTAACCCCGAAACATAAACACAGCGCTGCGGTTCCCCTTTCAGCCTCATTCAAGAAAGAGCCCCATGTATCGACGTGTCTTACTCTTGTTTGTGCGCAGCAAAGACTGGCGGCCGGCTCCCAGTAGGGACTGCACTCCCGGCACGCTCGCCGGGACCTCCTTCTCCAGGAGGGGGCCGATACACCGGCATATCTGCAGCAGGTGATCCGGAGCAACGTGCCTGTAAATCTTCACCTGCGGGCAAGGGAAAGGACAAGGTCAGGCTGGGTACCGGCAGCATTGGGATGACTGTTGTATTTCCGTCAGCAGAGGAGAAAAGGTGACAAACATTTCATTCCACTCCATAATTTCAAACTGCTTTTACTGTCCTTATAGTCCACAGTGACAAACTGCTGTTGGTGCCATGACTTGCCTCAGAGCCCAGAGCCTCTCTTATTTAACACCCAGGAAGAACACTTGCAACAGCATCATCATTAATGCGTTTACTCAAACGTTCATTTAAAAAAAAAAACTGAAATCTTTACAAGGAGGCTCAGAGAGAGGCGATCACAACAAACAGAGAGCACTGTTTCGGTTTTAAACAATTTCTTTTGATTACACAAAAGGCTAAAAGCAATGAATAAAGCCTTGCAATGTCCTTTTTGAAAAGGCTTCTAAAAACGCTCTGACAAAATTTTAATTTCCTGCAATTTTAAGATCCTGCAAAAAGCACACATTCTGATGAATGCAAGATTCGAGAATCCTAGATTCAAGTCTTAAAAGATTTAAAAGATTTAAAAATCAAACTTTAAATCTAATTATTAGGATGGAATCTGCTACAAGAAAACATGCTTAAGCTAAGTAGCACGCAGCTCTGTGGCTATTCAACCAACTACAATATTCAAACATCTACACATCTTATTTCAATTGCAAGGCACACTGAAAAATATCTTGCAAAATAGTTAATAAAATGCGATTGCGCTATCGACAGTCAACCCCCCCCCGTATACATCCCCGAGGAACTTTTTTTTAAAGAACTTTTTAAACCCCAAAAAATAATTTATGAAACCGACATCAGAAATCTAGGTGTTTCTGTACTTAGAAAAATCCACGTTAGGGCTTTTGAAATAAGTGGATTTCTCTAGATTTGTTTCCAAAAATTACCTTGTTTTGTATATGTGGCCAGTATTGAGTATACTGAAGGCGTAGGCAAATACAGTCAAAACCGGACTTCCAGGCGCTACTGCAGTCCGCATATTTTGACAGTTAGTGAGCTGTTTCGAGCCATTTGTATTGGGGATCCATATGGTTACATCCTTTGGTAATAAGATACAAATTCAGCTACAGTACGTCTCTAAGCTAGCTTTTCAGAAAATCAAGCTTTCGAAATACTATCTCCTGCGCAGGAATTGGTTGCGAAGCTTCGTTGTGATGCTGATCGCTGTAAAGGGCTTCTTCACCTTATGGCTGCAGAACAACAAGGCAGCTAGTGTTTATGTTCTGAACAGGCGCTAGTGTGTTTGTTACCTGCTATTAATTCATACGCTCTATACACGAATTTTATAAATGCAAGGATTTCCACACAGTTCATAACGCTGTCGACGACAGCAAGGTTACATTTATTTACAAGCCATTCACTCCAAAGAAGCGATTAGTCATACACACAGCTGACTTCTCAAGGCGAAGAATACTTAATAACAAACCATATTTACAATAATCGATTAAGTAGAGAGTACTGCAAAAATGGGGTTAATCGTGTTCTACGTTTTTCAATAAAATCCGAAATGCCTTTTTTCCCTAGCTTCAGAAGAATTTGAACATGGAGATTCTTAAGGCGGAAAATAAAACAAATACAACTGAAACATGCTGCTCTCAATAATACGACTACAGACGATGATAAATAATTATGTCTTTGTATGCTTAACTTCGCAGTTTTGAGATAAAGCTGTGTAATTGAACCTCACTCTGCACCATTTGGTTAGTCTCGTCTGTTCCGATGGCCAGTATCAGTTGCAAGCAATGATTGCTAATCGAAAATTCAAAAATGAGATTCAAAAACGTTCAATGAAAATTATAATTTATGTTAATCTTTTCTTCTCCCAAGGTAGCCTAATTACTCTATTTGGGATCAGGCAATAAATTTTTAATTTAGCTACCAAGCCAAAATAAAAACGGAAAAAAACAGACCTTTACGTTTTCCAGTTCAAGTAACTGTCATATCGATGCACCCTCCTGACTTACCAAAACATAAAATAAACGTTTGAAAACTCGTCTATTTAGATTTTTTTTAAACATCAAAAACGCTTCCCACTGTATAAATCAAAAGTTTCGATCTGCCCGAACAGATTTCACACAGCCATTTCGTGTCTTAAACGCCCAAATGCGATTTTATTTATTTTATTTTTAATAACTACTGACTAGATGGTGAGTCCACGATTTCTGATGATGTAACCCCGCATATGAAATCATATCTTAAATGACATATTACCTTTTCCTTGCACAGTAATTTTTTAAAAGTCCTCTCGCAAATCCCATCCTGAGAAAGGGGGAAAACATCTTCTTCTTCTTCAATCCTAAATAACTTCCTCGTGAGCGTTTATAAAGTGTCATTCTCCTTTAAAAAAAACGTTTTTCGCTGCGCACTCTAAATGCACGTTTGTCAGATCCTAATGCTTTATTTTAACTAGTCAAGTCATCATGTTGTGTATTTTTACACTGCGACTGGAGCGCGTTGAGTAGAGCGCCTCCATCTCTAGTCACTGCTCTGCTGCTCTGGCGCTCTAGTCCCTCCTCCGGTCCCTCTCTGCTCCTACAACACAACATTCATGACGTATCTTTATTTCTAGTACATTTTTCCAAACTATTTAAATCTTTTTGGCACGCCTGTCACCAAAATCGCACACCAGGACCCTTGGAAGTTGTAAAATCACCCCCGCGGATCTTTAGTCCCGATGCCCTTGCGTTTCCCCCCGTTTTTTTTAATGTAAAGTTTTTTTTCCCCCGATTTAAAAATTGCGGGAAATTCAATTTTTATTTTGCTCACTAAAAAAAGTTTTTCTCGGTTATAGGGATCTCTTACCAAATTTTCGTAAGTCCCGGGGTGTTCTTTTCCCGTCCAGTCTGTTCTTTTCGGCAGAAGCTAAAATGAAATTACACCATTATCTCAGTGTCAATCTCACCCCAGAATGCGCTCATTGAGATATTTTAAATATTAAATCGGGAATCTGTCCGAAATTAACATCAGAAAGTACAGTGCAGCGAGATGCAGTGCGAGCTCTGGGCTGCCTACCTCCTTCTCCTCCACTTCTTTTATCAGGGTCTGGAAGGCAAATAAAAACACGAAATCAGACGCCAATCCTTTCTCGGGAATGTACAATATATTAATAAAACCCCGATTTACCCACCTCAGCTGCATTTTGACAAGGTCCTGCTTCCAAAAATCGGGCTATTAGGAAGTACAGCTCTGTGAGGGGAAAAACATTACATTAGATAGGAGGAGAGAGGACGTCGGAGTGGGGGGGGGGGGTAGATTTTAGAAATAAAAAAAACCTTCGCCGGTGCATTGCCATCCCCTTCTACTCACCAGATTTGAGCTGCGCGACGTGTTTACTGTCAGAAGCCATTTTTGGGGCTGTTTGAGTATACAGAAGACGGCGTGCGGCCGTGCTGTGCAGCGGGCACCAGTGTCTGCCCTGTAGCTGTCACCGCTCGCTCGCCAGGAAGAGTCTCTCCTCCTCCATTCAGCCAGCGCAGCCAGCGGGCCCGGCCGCCAAGGAGCCGTCCGCGCTCCGGCATGTAGTCCCCCCGAGAGGGGCGCCAGGCTCTCCGCCCTGGGCAAACCGGGCACCCGCGCCGCAACTGGGTGTTCTTTAAAAATATATAGTCTGGATAATGTGAATTGTAAGGTCGAGGTGAGGCTGACTGCATTTATTTTTTGTTGTTTTTATGTTGTTCTCTCTCCCCCCCTCCTTCTCCTGCGTAGGAACACCACGCAGTCGGCTTTTACGCACGCACACGGGGACGTCGAGGGTGGCTGAAAACTGTAACATTGGAGCAAAAATAGGAAGCGAGCTGAAAACAAAACGTTTGAGCAATTAATGAACTGCTTTTCCGTAAAGTAACAAATTTATATTCGTCTTCCGTGGCTTTCCGAAGCGTACACTTGAAGTCCTCCTTTGATTTGCTTTAATCAAATGGCACCCGTACCCACACAATAGTGTCATACGTATGCTTACACTTCGTAACTTACAGCTGCCATGTTTTACACAAGCGAAAGATATATTTTAATATATCGCAGAACCCATTAAGTAGGTTACAGCTTATTCATGTGAGGTTTGTTTCAAGATTTTAACTTCATTTGTAATTAAGCAGTAGTAATAATAGCTATTAACAATAGAAACGTTGGGCATTTCTTCACTCCAGAAATCCTCCATTTCTTTCCGAAATGTAATCTGGTAATAAAATGGGGGAGGGTTGTAAAACAGGGGAATGTAATGAATTAAACCTCGTGAGTAACAAGAATACCACACTTAAAAGCAGGAATAGAGGAAGAGGCGATATTATCATATTTACTCGAAAATAAATTATACGAATATATTAAAATACTTCCGTTTTCACAGTATATTGGTCGTTGGTCAGCGGACGGGTTTTCTTACTGTACATGTTGTTTAAAAGAAAAATAACATTATCACTGAAATAGACAGCAATAGAAAGGCCTTATTAAAAACATATTTTCCTCCAGGCTACTTATGTAAGGATAATACTAAGATTAGCATACGAGGTTTTGCTTTCTGTAATTAAAATATTTCTACGAGGCAGAACGATTTGGATGTTCCAGAAATGGATAGGATTTAATCGATAAGATGAAAAAAGATTTGTAGCAAAACACTAATAAACAAAAAATTGCGTTTGTCTACATAAATACTACATTATTCATTTTAACATTTACTCCACTTTTGAGTTAACTAATTGTTTATATTTCATGATTTCTAAAACATTTATCCAACAAAGTATGTATAGTGTACACACAAAGCTAAATTTGTGACCATAGTTACTGTAATTAACGCACATGCTTTTCCCATTTATTAGGTGCAGTCAGTGAAGGTATTATAACTCTTTTCTAGATAATTATCATTTTCTCTTGCATAGTGTGTAATTTTAAAATTTTATTAAAATTTAAATTATCTTATCAAAACGTGGGCATAACTTCTGTAATGCCAGACTAGACCCTTCAAACAAAGTGAGTTTGTTTCCCAGCCATTTACTATTTTGTATGTGTAACCCAAAGCAAAATAATTTTAGAAAATTTGGAATTTGCGTCTAAAGAGGATCTGTAAACCATGAACACATCACTTGTGTTCACTAAATTTACCTTTCAGATATGTATAGAAAAAACATCTGCTGTTATTTTGTTTGTTTGAAAATTCCACTGCCACACGTTTACAAGAACAACCTTTCATTGTTTTACTTGTTTCTGTAATTCATAAATGTAATGTGTTTAAACAGCAAAAAGTGTGATTTAAAATGACAATAAACAGCGTGTTTATGAAATCCGAGATATTTATTTGTATTTGTAATGTGAATATCAAACTGAATTGCAAACCTTGACACAAATTGAAATGTCTACTCAAACTCATCTAATTGTTTTGAAAAATATTTTTCAAGAAAGTACATAGTGTACAATGGTAGTTGTATTAACAAAATTAATGTGAATGCTTCTCTCCATTTATAATGGTACATGACATTTTAAGGTTAAATTTAGAGTTTTAAGGCATCTTATAGGAATATTTATTTATACAGTAGTTCAGATGATGCAGCAGCACCTGAAAAACTGGGATTACAGTTACATTGGTCAAAATTACAAGATAATTAAGGTATTGCAGGAGTGAATTGGAATTAAAACCTGCAGATAGACTGTCCCTTATGGATGAGGATTGGACAGCAAACCGAAACAATTGCAATGGACAATGAAATAGTATGCCACAACAGCTGTGGAATTTTCGCTCACTTCACAAGTTGTTACGGACCCAGACCTTTTTTTTCTTACTTTGGTTGATGTCAGAAATGTATGCTTCTGAGCCTCAATCTGCAGGTGAATGTGCAGGGAATTTCAAACATCAGTTCATTAGTACATATAATAATTACTGTGCCACCTAATAATAATAATAATAATAATAATAATATGCACCTATGAAAGGTGCTCAGAACTAAAGCAGTATACTTACAGTATATTAACTCATGGAATGAGTGGATTACTTCAGGGTTTCCTAATCCAGGTACTGTAGGCCTATTTAACTGCTGGGTTTCATTCCAGCTGATCTTAATTAACCTACAGTACTTAACAGAAGCCTTAATTGAACTAGCAAGGTGCTTAATAGGAACAACTGGAGGTTGTGTATCGGAGAGTTTGGCTGGAACAGAAACCAGCAGGTGTGTGGGACTCTAAGACTAGGATTGAGAACCCAGGCATTATTGTTCTATTTTGACTTCTATTCACAACCGTTTGATTTTGAATCTAAGCTTGAAACAGTTTCAAAGGACTATTCACATTGCACGTACACCAGAATGATACAACCACCATCCATTTTCTAACGGTTTCTTCCAATTCAGGGCCGCAAGGGAGCCGCAGTCTATACTGGCAATGAACAGGTGCAAGGAGAATAATACGCAAGAATGCTAAGTCAGAAGCCGCTAAAATCAAATACTGTATAATTCAACAGATTTTAAACACATTGGTTGTATATATTTTTGTACATGTGCACTATTTTCACAAAATATACACCCTGGAAAGTAAGTGAAAAAACAACCAATCTAAAACATTTTTTAATATGTGTACAAAAAATTTTACCTATGCAATTTTTAATTTGACAAATTGTTTTTGGTGATGGTAAACCTCAGTCAAACCTCATTCATTATGTACAAAAACTGAAGTTAGAATCCAGAATGATTAGAATAAATATGTTACTTTGACATTAAAAGGGCAAATCAGAAAAAAAAGATTTGACATTACATGGCAGCTTAAAGCCATTAATAAGGAACTGGCAAAGTTAATGCAGTCTGTGCCTTGTTTTTTGCTAAGCATTGTTAAATCTTTTAAAGAGTGACCTGTTCTTATTAACTGCCTTTTCGAGTAATATTGTATCATTATTTCCAGTTTTGCTGTATGTGTGCATGAGAAGAGGTTTATTCAGATAACCTTTTGCCTTAAAAGGGTGAGGGTAACAGTAAATGAATACCAGTATACAGTAGGTACTGTAGAAAAAGAGTCACTTTCTTGTATACATGGTCCTGGCTTCCTGTATTAAAGTAGACAGTAATGGAGGAGCCATAGTAATGTTTTGGCCTTGTAGCTGGAAGGACGGGGCTTAAATATTGCGTAGGTACATTATCATTATACCATTGAACAAGTACAAATGTAAGTTGCTTTGGATAAAAATATTTAGAAAAAGAGCATTTACATAATAATAATTTATATTATTGAATGGGCTGAACAACTCCAAGCTTGGAATATGACAGTATATTTTGCTTTCTGCCTTAGCTCTTAATTACATGACTGAACCATAGTAAACTTTCTCTTGCGTCTAAAGAATTGATTTATTGAAAATTTTAAAACACGCTTGGTTGCAGGCCTCTATAATAAGATGTAAGTGCATCTGGTCCAGGTTATACAGCTCTTTTCTTCAGCAAATTCTAGTTTATTCAGCAGTGGTTTTGTTTATTAATTTATTTAGAATTGTAATGCAATTTCTTTGATATTTTATGCAGTGCTTCCCCCAGAATCGTCATTTGTTGTTATATTTGGTCAGAAAATAAAAAAAAAACATCATTGTTTGCACCCTCTGCATTGAAAGCAACTCACTCATGCTGTGCTGAATTTATTTATCGGGAAATAATGTATTATTTTGAATCAAGCCCAAGTTGCTTTATTTCAAATGTGCAATGTAATTCATTACTTTTCTCACTTTCTGGATTTCTATCATCTTTGTATTTCTGCTCACATAAAACAGACATCAACAAGGAAATCTCACTTGTAAGAAAAAGGACAGTTCAACGTTTTTGCAAATGTATCACTTTTGAAAGGACGGACATTTAGCACACTCATCCTGCTGCTGTTTTGATATAATATCATGTATTCTGTACATTGACAGTGGAATATAAGATGAAACATTACTAGTTTGCACGACTGACTACTTCTTACTGAATTCATCTGATCTATTAAAATATGCAAATTCTCTTTTTGGCCATTTATGTTTCAAACCTGCACAGCAATAACCCAAAAATGTAACATGCCATCACAATGGCATTTTAAAATTGTTGGTAGGTGATGCTGTAAGATTTGGAAAAGCCCCCTGTACTACAATGTTACACTCACTAGGGGGCAGGATTGCTCCTTGCCTCCTTGACTCCATTGCACAGAGCCTTACTCCAGGTAAACTGGTTAAAGAGCTGTTGCTACCATTTTCTATCACAGCCTGGGTAGTGGAATCACCTGTGCCAGAGCTACTCGACTTGCAGCCCTTATGATCTGCTGAACTGCAGTACTTTCATGCAACCAGTTCTTTAATTGATATACTGGTCCTGCTAATTACCAATTACATTCCAATGAAATAATTAAGGAGCTGGTTGAAGCAAAATCTTCTATTGAAGCAGACTGGAGCGATTGCAGGCTGAGTAGCATTAATCGCAGTACAATCATTCCCTGGGCTTAAGGTCTTGCAACATGTTAACACATTGACATGGAGACAACATTGTAAAAAACTCTTCTTGACGTTAGCAAAGTCTGTCTCTTTTTATACATTAGTTCAGTAGAGCCCAAACTGTGAACTTTGCAAGCTACTATTTTTTTCTCTCTTATGCACTCATAACTGTATGATGTACAACGTGTGAAGCTTATACTGCATAATCCTCATAATATTAAAAGGAGGAGCATTAATCTATTACAACAGATTTGCTAAAATTCACAAACCTTTCTTCTGTAGAACAAACTAAAATGTCAGAGCATTACCTCTACAAATAACTTGTTTACTACTCTTACACAAGGCTGCTAGTAATGAAGGATACAGGCTAGAACGGTCAAGCTGTTGTTTTATATGTTAAAAATGCTAGATGATTGAATGAATACCAAATATCCCATTTTATCAGGTGCAAGCTAATAAATGTAAGTTTTCTTGTTGGATAGGGTTACAACCGAACATACAGGTGCAGATCATTAGACAGCCCAGGCTCTTAAAATTGCACCTAAACCAGGGTTCTTCAATCATGTCTTCAAGTTTCTGTTCTCACTACTAAATTTGAGCTGATAATTTGTTAGGTAACTATTACTGTTTACCTCCATAATGGCCAAATTGAACTCAACACAATTTTTTAAAGCCGCAAAAAAGAAAAAGGTCTGAATAAAATCTTTTGTCCAGCAACTGGGAGGTCAGTTGGAATAGAATCCAGAAGATGGTGATTTGAGAAAGACCCATGCTGGGGAAAACTGCATCACATTTTTAGATATGACTGACACGTTTTTATCCAAGCGGACTCACAATAGCGCCTATTTATACAGCTGGGTATTATACTGGAACAGTTTGGGTGATTTACTTGCTCAAGGGTACAACAGCATTAATGAAGTCTGATGAAATATGAAACCCCCAACTTTCCACTTATAAGTCCAGAACACTTACTACTGCTCCCCTGACCTGAAATCAATGAACGTATAAGTTCACCATAAAAATATTTTGTAATGTTAATGTTACTAGTTCCTTCCTCGCTCCAGGCTACAGGTCCCCTGCAAACCTGTACTGGAGAAAGCGGTAAGAAAATGGATGGATAAATGGATAATAGTAGTGCTACAGTATATGCAAACAGGAGGCACAGTGACTATATAGCACAACGGTACTTTATGAACCTCAAAAAGTAAAATCCATGTTTATGTGTTTCATTACCACTACCATTTTTTGAAAATTGAAAGTCTTCAAAAGTTCTGTTTTTCTCTTACCTGGATTCTACATGTGGCAAACACAAAGTCAATGTGGACAACATCAACTTTAAAAAAAAAACTAAGGACTTGAAACTGCAACAATTTCACATGAAGGCAACAAATTCAGAAAGTGAAAAATGTCAGAAATGAATCTTTTTTGAAGATTTCTTTTAAACAGGTGTACTGAAATCAAATTGAACAAACATGACTTACTTTAGGTACAATCATTATGCTGATTAGCATTTATCAACAACAGTTTATCAAGAAGGAGTAAACAGTATTAGTCAGAGGCTGCTATCCACTGTTGGAAGCAATACAAGTAGTCCTGCTGCATGACATACTAAACCTTGTACCTGTTTGCAGATGTTGTCTAGTGGCATTCTGTCTGATTTCTCTCTCAGAATATGGACAGACATGTGCATGCTCACTGGTGTCTGAGCAACAGACACCACATACTGTATCAACTCATACGATAAATTTTCTATCGTGGCAAAGTGTAGGGATTCATAGTCTCCCAGATCATGCTCTTTCATTGAGAGACATTGTTAAGCTATAAGA